ATCATGTAATACAGACTCCCCGCTGCTTCTGCGTGTACAGCAGACGTCAAACTGTCAATTTCGATGCGACCAAAGTTGGCATCCAACGGAACGTACTCCCAACGTCCAAGGTCGCCTCCGTGTTTTTCTTCCCACTTTCGGAAAGCGTCTTTCGAAATCGACTCACAAACCACAACGGGGGAACTCACGTCATCTTCCTCGTCATCCTCTGGGCAAGTCGCGTTCAGCAGTCGGTCCAGGTACGCATCGTAGCGAATTTTCAGTTGCTTGTTTGCTTGGGCCACCATCATGTGGTGCTTACGAGGCTTCTTTGCAGGATGAGACATAGCGACTGCGCCGACGGGGGATGCTTCAGCTACCTGGGGAAGCCGAATACTTCCAGGAAGAGGCACGCGCCGCCGCGTCTTGGTTCGAGAGAATTCTTCAACTTGGAGAAATTCGCGCGGGATTTTATGATTCGGATAAATATTGTTTTATCCGGGAAAGCCCGTTAACCGGATAAAGTTCGGACGGAGACTACTGTATGTATTACAGTCCGGTACAGTTGTCCTCCATCCACCATGGTCAAAACGAAATTCCCGTATAAAACAATAATATTATATAACTTTTCAAAGGCTGATTTGAATTGACCCCGAGGTTCAAATTTTTGAACATGAGGCTGCATTCACCTCACTTTGACAGGCTTAATTTATGAGGACATTTGAGAATATGCCGCAGTGCAAACAACAAGGAAAGCGACTCTCGATTCACGAGAAGAACTTGATTCGGGCGTATTATGCGTCTCACGTGCCCATTAAGACAACCACCGTACAGTAGTGGGTCACGGAACAATTTGGCCACACGCTCCACATCACGACTATTCGCCGAATCCTGAGGGACAAGATCAAGATTGAGACCAATAACATAAAGGAGGAGTCGGCAAAGGGTCGGTACAACTTTCAGGGGCCAAAATACCCTAAATTGGACAAACAAGTTGCCGAGTTTCATGGCGAATGCAAAGAATGCATGCGTGACTAGCCAGTTAATCGCGAGGAAGGGGCTCCAAATCGCCACCAAGCTGAACCTACCCGATCCGACTAAGCTTAAAATGGTGCACCTTAAATCGCGGTCCAATTTAAGGTGCACCATTTTAAGCTTAGTCTTTGTATACCCATTTGCATATTTTTTGGGCGGTTAGGTTAAAAACGGCCTTTGTTGGAATTGATTGGCTAATTCGCGTGCACCTTAAATTGGATCGAGCACCTTAAATTGGACTTTTATGTTACTAGTAAATCACTGGTTATCCACCAAAACAACCTTCAATTTCAATATTTTGTATCACCTTTATGTCATCAACTTCCTGCAATAGTTTATGTCATTATGTCATTGCATGGGAGCAAACCTTGGAGGACAGAATAGGTGCTATTTATACTAGTAACGTTATGACGTTTCAATTTACAGCTACATTTGTTAAGGTATCCTCTGGATGCCACGAATTATGGCATAAAATGACGAAAATCTCCATAAAATGGTGAAATGACAAAGTCGCGAAGTTGTTTCATCTGGATACCACAAAATCCAAAGGAAATATTACAAAATTATAGCTATTATAGAAAGTTCACGAATTATGGCATAAAAAAATGGACAAAAATGGTCAATTTCTCATGTAAAGACAGTCCATGTATTGTGCTTTCGAGTGAAATTGCGTGTTGTGGCGTTGTTCCTCGTTGGAATTTAAATCGATTTGATTGGCTACTTCAGATGAGCTCAAAATTATTAACCAATCAAAACCTTCTAAATGAAATTCAACCAATCAGATCGATTGTGGATCGGTTTGGTCGGCGCGATTCGATTGCACCCCCTCCCCAAATTTGTATCAAATCGACAATAACCACTGGGTGGCTTCCAAAACCGGCACAAATCCAATTTGAGACCAAAGTGGTACTGACATTATCCGTATCGATAGCGAATAATATGAGCCATCAACATCAATGTTCTGTCAAAACGCAGCAATTTATTTTTTTCGGCAACCCACAAAGCCCCCGACAAGATGGAGACCCACTTTGACGTCTTCAAGAGGTAGGTGGAGTAGTGGTTGGTAGACCAGGTATGACATCAACAGCATGCGAGGATCATCGTGGTCGTGAGCATCGTTTTGGCGCGCAAGT